GATAAATCGGTTCAAAAATTTTTCCTAAGCACACACAACAGTTTAAATCATGCCTGTACAGTATTTTCTTTTTCGAAAAATGAAGTCGTTAACAGTTGATAATAAGCGCATTGTGTTACCTATCGATTTCTTCCGTACTTAAGTACTTAAACCTAGTTCATTTATATTTTTGTACCAAAACATTATGCCTTTCAGTTAAAATCATTCCGTGATTAAAATTCACATACTGATATACATTAATTACAGAGGTTAGTATTAAACTGTACTAACGGTACTGATTATTACCGCTTGATAATAAGAAAGGAGTTAATACAGAAATCACTATATAAATATGAGTCTCAATGAAAACAACAAGCTAAGTTCTGTGCTACAAAATAGCGTCTGTAAAATATGTAGTGTAGTAACTTAATACAGTCAGTCAGTCAGTCAGTAACAACGTAGAACTTCGTACATATGTACATCAGTTCGAGTTGCCACACCACATTAGCACAGAGATGCAGTTGTCGATTCAAATCCCGTAGTGGTAGAGGTAGCAAGAGTATAAGCAGTAATCGGGAAGATTAGGGTTTGGAGATGTTATTTAAAGAGTATAATCCAGTGAAATAAATTTGGAAAGAGGAAAAAAGGGACATGAAGGATTCAGAAGATTAGAATTTGGGAGAACACAGAGAGTGGATGCACCTGCGCCATTGCAAACGATTTTGAGCCATGTCATTCAGGGTCTCTAACCATCGGTTGCTATCATCTCGCGGTCCCCAACCAGGTAGTCTACACCTACCAACATGACTCAGTTCACTTGTCAGTGACTTCATGGACTTGTGCCATGTTTTGGTTTGGCCGCCCCTAGCTTTCTTCCAACCTACTCCTATACCACTGAACATAGCACGTCGAGGCAGTCGGTCGTTGGGCATACGTAACACGTGTCCCAGCCATCTCAACTGATGAAGTTTCACTACTTCATCAATTGATTTGCCATCCTTACCTAGTACCCGTTTCCTAACAACTGCATTACTTACTCGATGGTCCCATGATATACGAGCAATATTTCGAAGACACCTATGATCAAATACTAGTAACCTACGAATATCCTCTACTCTTACCGGCCATGTTTCACTGCCATAAAGTAGGACGGAACGAACTGCTGCGCAGTAAACCCGTCCTTTGGTTGATAGACGGATATCTCGCCTACGCCATAAATGACGCAAGTTGGCAAAAGCTAGTCGAGCCTTCTGTATCCGTGCTGAGATTTCGTCACACACCAAACCACAAGGGCTGATGAGACTTCCAAGATAAGTGAAGCGGTCGACACACTCAACTACTTCACTCCCTATCACTAGTTCGGGTGTCGATGTAACCCAATCCTGAAGCAACATTTTGCATTTCGAGGGAGAGAATCGCATCCCGAACATGCTTGCATTGTTGCTTAGAGTGGTCAGAAGACTCTGCATTTTGTCAGCGTCTTCACCAAATAAAACTATGTCATCAGCATATTCTAAGTCAACAAGTGAACCTCCCGGTAGAAGTTCAACCCCTGGAAATTTAGATGAGGAGAGTGTTATCTCTAAAAGTACGTCGACCACAAAGTTGAACAAGAATGGGGAGAGTGGACAGCCCTGACGAACACCACTTGAGGTAATCAATTCTGATGACAGTTCGCCATAAGCTCTCACTCTACCAGTTGTGTTCGAGTAGAGAGCCTTTATAAGGTTAATGTACTTCTTTGGTACTCCTTTCAGTGACAAACACTGCCATAGAACCTCACGATCAACAGAGTCGAATGCCGCCTTAAGGTCGAGAAATACTACCATTGTGGGGCGTCTGAATGTGTGTCTGTGTTCTAGAACCTGACGTAGTGTGAATATCTGATCTATACAACCACGTCCAGGTCGAAAACCAGCCTGGTTTTCTCTAATCTGCTCTTCACGAGCTTTGATTAGGCGTCGAAGTATTATTGAAGCTAATATTTTAGACACTATATTAGTCAAACTGATTCCTCTGTGATTGTCACAAGAGGACTTTTGTCCTTTCTTATAGACTGGCACAATCAGTGATTGAGACCAGTCAGATGGGATTACGTCCAGTTCCCAAATTCTACCTAAGACCTCAGTTAATCTCATTGCTAATACTGGACCACCATCCTTAAAAATCTCAGGAGTAAACCTGTCAGGGCCTGCTGCTCTCCCTCGTTTCAGATTTCCTATGGCTTTTTCAACTTCGTAAACAGACGGAGGACCTACATTAACTTGCCATTCAGGTTGACTGGAGATCGTGGGAAACCGAAGTGTGGCTGAAGGCCAGTTGAACTGATCCCTAAAGTGTTCTGCCCATCGATCCAATCTCCTGGATTGAGAATGAATAATATGTCCATCTTTCTCTGAGATTGTTTCGCTAACGGTCGGGTTCCTAATTCCGGTTTCCTTAACGAGTCTGAACAATTGTCTGCTATTACCTATTGCCGCTGCCTTTTCCATCTCTCTTGCTTTCGCTACCCACCACTGTTCGCGATCATTGCGTAGACTTCTTGTCAGCTTGCGCTTAAGCTGACTCCGCTCTTCATTATGTTCAGAGCCAGGTGGAATGAGTTTCCGAGCATCTATCAGTGCGATAGATGCTGCTGAGATCCAGTGTTGCTCCCTAACCTTCTGGTTTACCTTACTAGCAGATATCACTGCTGTTTCCACAGCTTTTCGGATATCATTCCATGCTGCATCGGGGTGGGCATCACATACATGGCTGCCTAACTGTTTTCCTAGTTGTTCCTGAAATATACTCTTAGCTTGACTATCATTAAGTAGGCCCTAAGAGGTTTCCTTGCAGCGTCTTTCCTACGTCCAGTAAGACGCAAGCAAATACGCGCTCGCACTAGAGCATGATCTGAATCTAGGCATGTGCTCCAGAATGAGCGACAGTCTTCTATCGAGCCCCTCCATCGGTGGCTGATAGCGATGTGATCTATTTGGGTCCAACGTTGGGACGAATTAGGGGGTCGCCATGTTAAAAGATGTTTTTCCTTATGCTTAAAGTTAGTATTTGCAAGGAACAGGCGGTTATCTGAGCATAGCTGCAACAGACGGTCGCCATTATCTGTTCTTTGAGCCACGACACCATAAGATCCACCTAGGTGTCTTTCCCTATCGCTTAGTTTACCTACTTGAGCATTAAAGTCACCGGCCACTATTACTACATCCGAGCGCTAGCTTTTCGGAGAAGGTCCGAAAGCTTTCTGTAAAACTCATCTTTTACATCATCTGAGCTGCAGTCAGTGGGAGAATAGGCAGAGACGACGAAGAGGCAACGACGAGTGTCCCTATCTTTCCGGATTCTTACTGTTCCGTTCAGTCGGACAGCGCACAAACGACTGTCTACTGGGATCCACTCTAAGAGAGCTAGTTCTGCCCTAGGACTCAATGCTATACCTACGCCGGCGAGGCCACGGGAAGCAGAATCAGGGCTTCCAGATACACGAAGCGTAAATCGAGTCGGTTCTTTATTTTGGCATGGTGAGGTCAAATGAATGACGCTACTCGGATCCTGTATGCGCGTTTCGGAGACGCAGCACACATCGATGGCGCGAGATTCTAAAGTTTTAGCTAAGGAAGCCTGCTGTCCTATTTGGCAAAGTGTTCGTACGTTAAAAGCTCCTACGTGTAGTTTAGAGCGTGGTTTCAGGAGACCAGGAATGGCGTTCCACGTACTCGAATCGTTTGCCCTAGCGGTGCGAGGTGATAAAGAGACGTGAGGAGGGTTAGTCATGGAGATAAGAGAGGTATTAGGAGGTGTAGGAAGGATTTGAATGTGACCACCTTGGTCTCTTGTGCTGTTACGGGTATGAGGGCTGATGTCACTTCCCGGCTGCCCACACCGTGGAAGGGTATTTCTTGAGGAACCTGAAAAGGAAATTGGATTAGTGTTGGTCTTGACGACCTGGGAGCGTGACCGCAGAGCCCAAGGGACAACTGCTTGAGGCCGGTCGCGCACGGCCTTTTTGTGGAAGGTTTTTGACGTGTTAGCTCCGTTCTTCAAAGGGCCTTACCGCCGGAGACGGAAATCCGTGAGGTAAGGTGAGGTGTGACATTTTTAGGGTCGACCTTTTCTAACCCCACCCCTCCTTGTGGGAAGGCAGCATCGCTGTCATGCTGGTTGTCCGAAGGAAACACCTTACTGCTGTCACACCCCTCTACAGTCAGCAGTACGACTTCGCCCTCAGACCTTGAGTTGCTGCTTTTAGTCTTACCGTTCTCCAATCGACCTGCCTGGCATGGTAGAACCTACAGGAACATATGTTCCAGCCAATATAGCTCGGTTGGGTCATCACGATAGGCAAGCCCGACCACCGCGTCAAGGTAGCAGCTTCGATCGGGAACTTAATACAGTATAAGTTAGTTGATAAATGGCCGTCGCATGCACTACGAAATGGAGGTCAAAGATAGAATTTTTGTGTATATTGAATCATTAGTTTGAATAAAAAAATTAAATAAACTCACTTTCTGGATATTTCATAACTATTTATTTCCTATAATTAATCCCAGCAAACGTTTGCTAGTATTTAATCAGTCACTTCCCCCGAGGGAAATGCTCTTACATCGGCATGTGTATACAGACACTGTCAGGGAAGACACCTTCATTGCCTTCTCTCGGCCTGGGTGTTGTTTACGAAATGTAGGGGAGTTGCAAGACCCTGATTCCGAACCAATAGTCCACATGTGCTTCAGGATCCTGAGCGAACAAATGATGTATGAACCTATTGTTGGTCACCGGCTACTATGGGACTGCATCTCCTAAAGTTATTCCACTGCCTTGTGGATTAGACTTCTAGGTCAAAGGCTCGGGGAGTGGCCTCCTAAGAAAAATACCGGTTTCGGTTTGGATCCCCGGGAAGTATTCCAGCACAGCCCATATATATTCGGTGCCTCCTTGTATAAATGTTTATACGTTTAAGTAGATAAATTATAAATCAATCATTACTGAATCTCTATCATGTTTTTTTGATATCACCCCAGGTATTCGATGTTCATATTCAAAATTCACTCCCACTTGTTCAAAACTTGGATATTTTTGGTCAAGTTGGCTTTGCTACTGCGTTCGATTTAAATGTGCCACTTAAAATAAAAGATGGAGTAATATATATTGGTGAACATACAGTCAATATCGATGACGATCATTTTACTGTGGACTTTATTAAAGTAACCCAAAATTGATAATATTCTATTTATTTTTTTTCATTAAGACTCAATTTGATAATCCGAAAATCAATGCTATTGTTGTTACTAAAGGCTCAATAGAAGGTAATCTTTTCTTATGTATACTGTTTTGTTATAGTTTAGAATCAATAGTTATTTTACTCAATTATCTCTCAGTATTATCTTTGCTAGTTCTGTTTCTATACTCGGTTACTTTCAGTATATATATTATGGATCTCGATTTCACGAGAACCTTTTTGGTTACTCCCTTGTCTAACATCAGCACTAAATAGGTGCAAGCTATGTTTTGCCTAAAAGTCACATTTTTAGGCTCTTTGAACTAACCAAATAATACACACATCCTAACATATTTAGTAGTTTAAACAATTCACCAACAAACACAAAAATCGTAATCGGCATTAATTAGTTCTGGTTACTCGTAACGTTAATGTCATACCCATGCTGTATAAAATTATTATCAGCTAAATACGCATTGACGCTGTTAAATGTTTTCAAAATAGTGATTCAACCTGACTTGGTCATTCGGCTGATAAAATCGATTTGAGTTTTCAGATGTTGATTAAAAGAGACAAATCAGTTTTTAATCCGATCGATGTGGACCAGTTGAAATACCTAAACAAAGTTTCGTAATTATGTGCCAAACATGTATATTTGATATCAATACTGGTTGTCTTATTATTATTAATTTTCATAAGGATTCTGTATAACTATTTAAGATCTTGGAATTAGGTCATGCAGCTTAATCGTTTGTGTACTTTATTAAAGTGGGGATTATCATAACCCTTGAAAGACAGTTTCGTTCAATGGCTGTTTACAAAAAAACCGGTGAGGCCCTAAAATGACTGAAGCTCATTACTGAGTGCTTAAAACATTTTTATTCAGGGTAGCAGTTTTCACATCTTATCTTAGATGTCAATCTAGACAAATTGACTTTCGTCTCTTTAACCTTCGTTGAATGAATGAATTTCATGGGTTTAGGGATTTCATTGGATAGTTTTTAAGCTGTAAAAACTATTTCAGAGGTACCGCTTTTAGTGTCTATTTTAGTTATGTCCAAATACTAATAGGGTTTGATGTATGCATACGGTTTGTTTATTGAATTAATGTATTAGCGTGTGGTTGTTCTCTAATATAGTATTATTTTTTATAGACAATTTTTCCAAAAAGAAGTTATCAACACTCATCACTTTGTGATAAGTGTAGAGTTATGCATTTGTTCACTTGTCCCTTATCATCTCATGATTTATATGGAGATGTTGAGAAACCATGATTCCAAGATGGTTTTTGATGGTGAATTAAGAGATCTCGCTTAACTTGAATACTCTCAAGACTTACTTTATGCGACACGATACTTAGATCATTGTGTCGGAATCGTATGGTTGTTCTTTTTAACTCCAGTTGATTCGTTACCTGATTTTCAGTGTGTTTTCCGGATGAAGTAAATTATTAGCTAACTAGTGTTTATACGCTTCTGTTCCTAGTGTGAATTTAATATGTCGTAAATCATTTTAAGTATCTTTCCATTATCTAGATGTCCCTCAATTACCACCGTTAGAAGAAGTAGAAACATTTGATCAACAGGTGTTACATCCCCATAAGTTATCTGATTCTGATGAAGAAGAAGAAGAAGACCTGGAATCTGTGCAACAGAGACCATCTAGAACACCAAGAGCAAAAGATCCTTATGCTTCTGTGGACTATTCCTATTTAATCTTACCTATTATAGTATCGGTTGGAGCATTTCTACCAATTCTCTTTTGTTTATGTAAACTTTAAAGAAAAATACAATAGGTAGTTTCTGTTGGTATTATTGGTGATGTCTTTATTATTGTTGTTTTGTTTTTGTGTAATTTCTGTTGGTTATTCACATCTTTTGTAAGGTATATGCACTTGCTTTATTTTGTCTTTCTCGAAGCTAAAATGTTTATTCTATGAACTGTACATTGTTTGACAAAATTCACATATCATTAATGTTACTTTATAATAGTATACTTATTCTTAAGTGTTTTTTAAATGTGTGATTTTTCAGATAGGTTTACTGCTTATTTCTGTTGTATTTTGTTTGCTGTTTTAGTCATTAGAGTTAATAAAGAGGGTTGTAAGTAATTAATGGATACATGAGGTTATGTAGTAAGTGAAATCATTCTACAAGGATTCACTTCCACAATAAAAAAAATAGTCATATTAACAATAACTGTAAACATAATCTAATACTTCTGTATTGTTGGTTGTATTATATAAATGATTTATTTCAACTTGTAATAAATTGTCATTGAAACTGTTATTATCATTTCAGTATCCAGTGAAATAATTCATCTGGCATTATACTCCTAGTATGCATCTCCAGGGTATTATATTTCAGGATTTTAAGGATGTTTGCTATTGCGATTATTAGTGACCTTGCTCATTATTCATTCTTTGTAGGATATGTACGGATGACTTAAAAAAGATTTTTATTATCAGTAAATATTCTCAAACAGATGAGTTATTTTTTAATTGATTTATAGATTTCCTGAGGTTGTAAATACTATTTGACAGCTTAATTCTGTAGGTCAGTGAAACCCAGTGGAAATTATGAAGTATTACATATTTCGTTTTCAAAAGTAGCCTTACACTAAACGACATCTTTGGGTAAACAAAAATAAAATAGTGTTAGAAGAGGTTTTGTGGAGATTTTAGTAATTTCAATAGTTGAAATCCTGAGTCTATTGAAGCTAGTTGCTGCCTTTTGTCCACCTGGCTTCAGTACCTCATTATCGCTCATTTCTAACATAACTAACTATTTAGATATTTCGAAAAGTATTATAAATGTGATGAGATCGAACACCACTTCGAAAGGTAATGTTCATATTCAGAAGCGATCATATACACATCCCTTGATTGGAGACACAGGTAGTGTAGAGTCCATTATTTCATCCAGAAACTTAAAATCTTTAGATCTTAACGTTGTGGTAAGACTCACTAAAGTCTCAATATTGGGGATTGCTGGACACAGTCTATCCATGCGAAGATGCTGTGAATTGCAAATAAGAGATGTTAATTCTTTATACATGTGTAGAATCCGAACTGAGGTTTGAACTGAAGAACAACTGTCTAAGTCGTTTAGATACGCGCTATTGTCCAGTTGAGACCAAAACAAGATGGTTGGGTAAATGACAGTTCACCCAGTTATTCAACCTATAGTTGTTCAATTAGTGATCAAATCAAGCGCAACAAATGAATGTTATTCTATCCCTTCTGGATAGATCACGTACAGATTCGTCCAAAAAATAGTATTTGGTTGCTTTATAACAGAGTGTTTCTAATTCTGGAAGAGTGTTTCAATTCACAATAAAAAATGCACAGTTCTAGTCAGTGCAAGCAACACAATCAAAGGGGGGGACAAACCAATATGGCTGCCATCAAAACTAAGTATCAACTAAAACAATATAAATGCAGTTCAGGGATAAACATGGAAACTCAGTGACGGCGTAGTAAAACTATGAACAAACTGACCTGTAATTGTTGGGAACTTAGTTGAGAGGGAATATTCTTTCCCTCTATTTGTTCACTTGTTTAACTCAACAATGATTATACTTTTGGTAATGACTGCCAAAGAAATCCAGAATACACATTTTACTCACTTTGGTACTCATGAAGTATAGTTTTAGTTAAACTCTACGGAATTCAGGTGTCTTTATAAGAACTCCAACTCACTTAAGCTCGATAGTTTTTTTGTCATGAAATAATGTATGTCAGGCATGGATCGTAAAATTAAGTTTATTATGTGCTAGCTGTAAAGTATTACCATCAAATTGTCAAGAATCCATAGAAGTATGCGATTGATACTTCGAGGTTACTCACTTCATGGGACCTCAATTTCTCCATGAGACTTGTGAATATGAACACAGAACTCGATGAATTACTGCCATGAAAACTAAGTATCAACTAAAATAATGTAAATGCAATTCAGGGATAAACATGGAACTCAGTGAAGGTGTAAGGAATGTAAACACTATTATATAATACGAATTCTATCATCTCAATTGGAATAAGGTATGACTTACATAATATACAACTGAAGGAATCAATAAGGTCAAACTGTTGGGTATCAAATGACCTTTAATTGATTTGCTCATATTGTGTCTGAAGATTCGACATTCTGTGGTCTGGATTAACCTTACTTTCTCTCAGGCTATGGAGTGTCCTAGTGGGGTCCCCTAGTGTTTAATACCAGGATATCTTATTTTCTTAATTTTTATAGACGACCTTCCACAACAGGCATCGTCAGACTTATTACTTTTTGCTGATGATGTGAAACTTTGGAGAGAGATACCCAACCGTGAGGATTACTGGCACTTCAGGACGATCTGACCCGACTTCAAATTCGGGCAGGCGACAACGGACTTACCTTTAACACTTCAACATGTAAAGTAGTCCATCTGAGACATGTTGCAGACTACAGTTTCAACTTAAGAAACTCCTCTCTAGTAGCATTCCGAGTCGAAAAAGATTTAGGAGTTCTGGTACCCTACGATTTCAAGTCTTACGCTAACTGTGACAAAAATGCCTTTCGAGCAAACCTTGCACTGGTAACATTGAAGCGCATTTTGGGCCAGTTTGATGGAAGAACTTTCCACATAATCTTCAACAGTTTCATTCGTTCCCATTTAGAATACGGAAACATAGTATTTCCTCCCTCACTCCAAAAGGAGAAGGACACTTTGGAGAGTATCCAACGGCGAGCCATGAAATCAGTTCGGGGACTCGAATCCAAGCCTTATGAAGAGCGTCTCCAGTCACTAAACCTTTACCCATTACAGTATAGGCGTCTTAGAGGTGACCTTCTAATGAATGGCCTACAGTATCCTTAACACTTCTGGACATCCCCTTAAACACCCAATTAAGTTTAGCTCCAACAAAAACATAAGGGGTAACACCCAGGAACTAGAGACACGACACAGCAGAACGGACTGTAGCCACAAATTCTGCTTCCGAAGAGTTGTGAAACGGTGGAATTCGCTGTCGACTGAGCTAGTCCAAGCGACTTATCAGGAGTTCTTTAAGAGGCAACATGACCTATTCTTAAGGACTAAGGATAATATCTTACTGTGATTTACCAATTACTTTTTCCTCTATTATCGTTAATATACCTAGGTTCGTGCCTGGAGGTGTTGATGATCCACTGCTACTAAACATGGAATCGCGTTAAGCGGAATCCTCTACAATTACGTCGAAAACCATTCGAACCGAATTCTGATTTCACAGTCCAGGCATTCAGCGAGGTATTTGTTCCAGAATGGGCCGTCTTGGTATTAGTGACCGATCGTAACTCTCATTATGCTGCGGACCCTGTCACCATCTCGATAAATGTTATAGGGCGTGAACATGTTTTTACTTCCCAATATGAAACGCCTTGTCTACAAACTTTACATACCATTGTGGGGATGATCTTCAACCAGACAAGAAGATTGTGATGGAGAATTTTGGAAAAATCTAAGGTCCGTTTACTAGATACCAATAATTTAAAAACGCACAAAAGATATGTCGATCAAATACATTTTCATGAGCCAACTGTGTCTGTTCCCGGTTCAGTTATTAATTCTTCGTCAAATGAATGTATTCTAGAACAGATGGTCTATACCCAATACAAAGCCGGACATACACAACGGACCCTAAGAGAATTACAGTCAATTACATGAATGTGGATTACCATGTGAGCTGTGGAAATCTTGGTATTTGAACAAACTGAATTCTTTGCACTCGTTCGCGTCCGTATCACGGATTTTCAATGTAATACATGCAGTTTCGCTCACCTAGTTTGATCTGCCTTCAATCGGACTGTTATGGGAATTCATAGCAAATCAAATCAGTCAGTCGGAATACAGTGGTCTTGAGTGCTGTTAGAGGTATGAGGGCGGTTATCACTTCCCGGTCGCCCAAACCATGGAAGGGTTGTTCCGGAGGTACCTGAAAAGGAAATTGGATTAGAGGTGGTCTTAGTGACCTGGGAGCGTGACCGCAGTGCCCAAGGGACAACTGCTTGAGGTCGGTCACACACGACCTTTTTATGGGTAATTTTTGTGTTAGCTCCGTACTTGTTGAGACCTTACCGCCGGAGACGGATATCCGTGGGATAAGGCGTGGTGTGCATTTTTAGGGTCGACCTTTTCTAATCCCACCCCTCCTTGTGGGAAGGCAGCATCGCTGTCATGCTGGTTGTCTGAAGGAAACACCTTACTGCTGTCACACCTCTGTACAGTCAGTAGTACGACCTCGCCTTCGGACCTTGGGTTTGTTGCTTTTAGTCTTATCGCTCTTCAACTGATCTGTCTGACATGGTAGGACCTTGAGGAACGGTTGTTCCAGCCAGTATAGCTCGGTTGCTTCATCACGATAGGCAGGCCCGACCACCACGTCAAGGTAGCAACAACGGTCAAGCTTGTCACGCAGTGAGGATTTTTCTTCTGATAGCATCCCTTCCAACACCTTGCTGACCAGCTGCGTTTTGCCCACATCTTTTTTCTTCCATTTCTTTTTCTCCTTACTGAAGTCCATTTATCACCACTCAGGACAGCCACACCTGGACTATGTGGAACGGTGACAGTCTTATCCGGATCTTCTATTTCGACCAGAGGTAAATGGCCGCCGGTGTCAATATCAAGCGACACTTCATTCCTCGTTAATGTCAACGGAGACTTCCCGTTCGCGTCAACCGCAGTCAGGCGTTTAACGGGTCCAGTAGCAGCACTTACTACATTGACACATTCTTCACCGTCAGCGCTCTTGTTATCAGTGCTTCTGCCATCGTCTTTCCTGCAGGCCAAAGCCAATAGGCCCATAGCCTCCTGGATTAGTACCTTTTTATCCGTACAACAGAACATACAAAGCCAATGCGAGTTAGGCTCTGAGCATCTTTTGTAAGCCGTCAGACTTAGGCATGTACACATTTTGTGGTACCAATTTTTACAATCGTTACATTGCATTCCCTCCTCCACAGGGAACAAACAATTTGGTTGCCCATATTTGTGAGTCTTACCAACCATTGTAATTCGATTTAAAAGGTTTAAAGAACACAAAATGATCACAATGTCAACACAAGTGTTAGACAGGAGGAAAAAAAGGTACTCAGGACAAAATTTAGCAAAAAATTTCAAACTTTAACCAAAGTACTTTTAGTTAGAGTAGACCAAGAATGCTTTTTAGTGCAATAAGTACCCAAAGTAAGTATAATCACAACAAGTACAAAAAACACTGCCCTTTTTGAAACGAGCGCGGTAGCGGACGTCAAACCACTCAGCAAAT